GCGGGTCGGGTCATGACCCAACCCAGTTTTTGGCCATGTCTAGGAATGTGTGATTTGGTTCCTTTGGACCTCTTTGATTCATGTTGACGTCCACATTTTGTGATGTGTGTACACAAACGAAGCGGCAAAACAAAAATAAAAAATAGAAGTTCAAACATGATATCAGAAAGTTTCACAATAATACCTTTGATTAAATGATTAATATTGATTATAATGTTGCTTGAAACTATTTTATGAACAGAGCCATAATGGACCTATTATTATATGGAAAAGAAACAAGTTCTAGTGCTCAACTAGTCAAACAAATTCCTGGTCTCTACTAATGTTAGTACTATTTTGGGGTATTTATTATGCAAGTGTATCCTCAAGCAAAGTCTTCATCCTCATCAGGAAGTGGCTGATTCATCGCGTTTTTCAGTTCCTCTTCATGCCTACAGCAAGAACCAGAAAATCGCCTCAAACACAATCATTCTAACTCCATTACCATGGCATATTGTTGCAACTGAACCGAAAGATGCCAATTAACTTTAAGTACAGTTAGTTTACAAAGAGTCGTCTCATATACCTTAATTGTTCGACCAAATCAACTTGAACTTCTGGGGGTGCAAGTGCTGGTGACTCGACAAAATACAATTCGGGGGCGCTGCAAAAGAATATATTCTTCATTAGAAAATGCTCAAAAGAAAAAACACAGAGGACAAAGCTAGAAAAGTATAGTCAACGTTACCCAGCAAGTTTTCTAGCAAGATACAGAAAGGGCTTCTCAAAGTTGTAGTTGCTTTTGGCTGAGATCTCATAGTACTGAAGATTCTTCTTCCTATGGAAAGTGACCTGCTTTGCTTTCACCTGCCTGTTCTTGACATCCACCTTATTCCCACACAACACAATCGGTATATTCTCGCACACCCTGAAATTGGCACAAGGATAAGTTACGAATTTTCACACTCGAAAAAATTTCATTCAAGGAAATTCACATAATTCTAGCATACCTGCAAATGTCCCGATGCCATGTGGGGACATTCTTGTAGGTCATGCGTGCCGTCACGTCAAACATTATGATGGCGCAATTCCCGTGAATACTGTTGTATATGAGAAAAAAAATTTGAATTTGTGTTAAGTGTTTAATAATTGTATGGTGCATGCAATGAAATAATAAACATAAAAATTGATATCAAACAACCAACACTTTGAGTTTCAATGTTCAACTACGTTTCCTCTGACTTAATATTCCAACTTAGGTCCCAAGAGTCGCAGAACTTTCACAGAACACATTACATAAAAGAAGAACATAGCCATCAAAGCATTCCGAAGATCATATTACATATATATAATATAATGTATCATGTCTACGTCAAATATGACATATATTTGAATAGCCAGCTGAAATCAATTCATGTTTTTTTATACATTAACTAATATCCGATGCTGCCGAGAAATGCTACGTGCAGTCAAGAAATCGTCGTGGACAAAATTAAATAAATTAATACATCTTTTCAGTACAAATTTCATCTACATTGAAATCATTATAACCAACACGAGGTACAAGTTTCTGATCACAGTAAATCCAAACGCAGATAATGGTACAGCATAAAAAAATAGAATAGAACAATCAACAAAGTCACAATAATCACGAGAAAACTTACTAATAACCATCTCTGAGTCCTCCAAACTTCTCTTGCCCGGCTGTGTCCCAACAGTAAAACCTTATCTTGCCGCAGTTTGTGAAGAAGTCAAGCGGATGAACTTCTACACCAATGGTTGCTGAAAGCCAAACACAATCACA